AATAGGTTTTTTCCTCTATTTTAAATTTAATTGTGAATCCAATGTCTTAGAACAATAAATGAGAAAAAAGATGAAGTGTGAACTTCATCTGTAGGAAAAATATAAAATAGCTTACCAACAGAACATCTTAAATGTTTTTTTAATGAATAGGAACATGCATAGAATGAATTATACTTTAATGTTGTTTCCTTTATACAAGTAGTTCTTAAACTTTCATAAGGATAGGAATCACTAAGCCGATATGGGGGTGAAGACTTGTTAAAAATCAAAAGTTCTAGACTCAGAGATTCGAATTCACTAGACCTGGAGTAGAGTCCAGGAATCTGCATTTTATTTTATTATTATTTTTTTTAATGTTTACTTTTGAGAGAGAGAAAGAGAGAGAGACTGCATGTGTGCATGCATAGTGAGGGAGGGGAAGAGAGAAAAGGAGTCACAGAATGCAAAGCAGGCTCCAGGTTCTGAGCTGTCAGCACAGAGCCTGACCTGCAGGGCTGGAACTCAGGAATTGCAAGATCATGACCTGAGTCAAAGTGGGCCACTTAACTGACTGAGCCACTCAGGCACCCCCAGGAATCTGCATTTTAAACACTTTCCCTCTACCATTTGGTATTAATGGTAGTAATCTTCCTATGAAGAATTAAATCTGGGACAAAGGATTTGTTCTCATTCATATTCCTACAGGTTTTGCTGTTAAAGGATTAACTTTGTACACTCCAAAAAAAATGTGCTCCTTCAAAAGGCACAGAGCCTTACCCAGTGCAAGTTTTCTGTTTCTTTTCTTTGTATTCCTTTTTTTTTTAAGTTTATTTATTTATTTAGAGAGAGAGAGATGGTGGGAGGGACAGCAGGGGAGGGTCAGAGAAAGGGGGAGAGAGAAAGAATCCCAAGCCGTCTCCATACTGTCAGTGCAGAGCCGATGTAGTGAGGTGGGGCTCCAACTCAGGGACTATGAGATCACGACCTGAGCCAAGATAAAAATCACAGTCTTAACCCACTGAGCCACATAGGCGCCCTCTTTGTATTTCTTAAACAACATATGGTAGAGAGCTAACATCATACTTTTATGTATGTATGTATGTATGTATGTATGTATGTATTTAGTGGCCTGTGATTGCACAGGATTGAAATAATCTTACTTTTCAGTCAATGTATTTTTATTGGTTTATATATACTTACCCTTGCAAAATATGTATTATTTTTTTAAGGTGCACATATGCTTAGTTTACATACATAGTACTGTGTTATAGATCACATTCTTTTCTATACTTTTCATTGACCTGCCTTTAAAGTCAATTTATGTTGTGTAATCTAACCCATATCTCAAACTGCGCCACTGTTCTCTAGCTTATGTACCATCCATGTTTTACCCTTCCATTCTGCCAGGATGGAGTCCCACATTGCCTCCAAATCCCCACCCTTAAAAAATGCTATAATAGATATCCTCTTACATATACATTGATGAGCCTGCACATATCAATTTCAAGGTGAGTATAATCAATTTATGTTTTAAAAGAAAACTTTAGCCAAGGGGAATAGGGGCTTCAAAATTTCTGTCATTTGTTTGGTGACCTTAGGAACACAGAAGAAATCTATTTGTGATACCCTTATGAAATACATAGTCTATTCTATGGAATATTTGTTATAATTCATCTGTTCCTCACTTAGTGCTTTCTAGAATGATGAGCTTATTTAAGAAGAAGAAAAAAATGCAGAGCAATAAAAATTATTCTCTCATGATTGCTTTTAATGGAAGAGAAATAAATCATATTTTTCCCCAAAACTACTTAGATTAACTTGACTAAAAACATATTCTTTTTTACCTGTGATTATCAATCCAAATATAAAATCAGTCCAAATATGTATACTGGTCTGAATCAAATTTACTGAATAATTGAATTATTTTGAAAAATCTTTTATGGCATTAGCAGTTTTTGAATTTTATATGTAAGTAGTGGTATTTGAGATTCATATCTTTAATAAGGCACATGCTTAATAAATCAGTCTGTTGATTTCACATTTATTGGATGACCTTTCACATCCTTGCATTTAATGAAGTGTTACTGTAATTTGATTTGTTTATGTGGTGCCTCTCTCTTTATACTTGGAATTATCTTGCCAGAGAATATACAAAAGCTGCTATGCAAAGATCAGCAAATATCTTTAAAACCTTAACAGCAGTTTAAAGGCAACTTCAGAGCACATATTAGAGACCCTTTGCACAGCCCCTGAAAACATAGCCATGTGACCATTTCTGTTCTTGATTTGATTTCTGCACACTTTTAACTGTTGAATGTCCAGAATGATGGCTTGAGTAGCATGTTCCAATTCAATGAGATTTCATATAATATATTTTAACCAAATTAGCAAGGGCAGTTGTATTGGTTAAGCATTTCAATGAGATAAGAGGGGGGAAAAACACTTTTTGGTGGAATAAAGATCTGAAAGCACATTAAGTCAGTGTGGAAATGAAATTTAACACACAAGTTGCTACTTAACAACACACCATTTCAAAAAAATATTAATGGAGTTGATAGGAAAATAGGAAGTCATGTCTTCATTTATTACTTTGTTGATTGGGGAACGAGATAGGTTCAAGTCGTAGGCAGTGCTCCGTCTCCTGAAATTCCCCTGTAGCGTGAGGTGATCACATTTATTTCAGCTGAAGTAAGCTTTCCCTCCTAGAAGTCTTATTGGACAGAAGGCATTATAAGCAAGTAGAAGTAAAGATGGGAAGAGGAAGCACCTGTCTGAGACCATGCTCGTTCCTCCTCCATCCAGGTCCAGTACTTCTGCAGAAGTGTTCAGGCTCCGTAAGAACAAGTTTAGGAAGCACCAACTGTAAAAAGCAAAGGCCAAAAAGGAGCTGTAAATGCCACCACCGTTTGGGCCTGTTTACAATGATTAAAAGCAAAATGAATCACAGTGGGTTTGAGAGTACAGGAAGCTGAAAGGGTATCCCTGCCTGTGAATTTGGTGCCGACTGCAGAAGTGCCCTGGGTTAACCCTAAATGCACGGACACATACTTTTTTCACTCTACTATAATCTCCACCGCTGGGTCATGCATAAACTCCATGTAGGACAGCACAGACCTAATTTGAGTTTGTTGTGCTCCAGGCAGCTAACCATTAACAGAAGAAAGCTTTACAACTTATTGAATACAGTGCATATTTTCTCACTTAACCCTCATTATCCTCTAAAGTAGGAATAATTTAGTAGTAGGAAGAGGGGGGAAATGCTTCATGGTAATATCATGATACCCCTTAATATTCATTGATACTGAGTATGCCTTTTCGTGTTTGCACTCTCATTCATGGGCAAAGCACTAAATGTTTTTCAAATCTTGGGAACCTTCAAAAGTAGGTTTTAATGGTGGACTGTGTATAAAAACCATGTCAGGAATCACAAAGAAAAACAATATTTTACTGGCTTATTCAAAAAACACAATAGTTATTTTCAAAGGGAAATAACAGATAAACATTGTTTATATAAGGGTAATTCAGAATTACTTGGCCGCACTCATGTTTGTTGATAAAACTGAAATGAACTTTCACTTAGATATACTTTGAAGCCTAGCTTCTGGCTTGGTTCCAAGGGTGGAGTGAAGGAGAAATGTGTCAGCAGTCTGTCCTGATTGTATTCAGAGTCCTATGCTGAGTACGGGACACCACTTCTCTTCCCTTGCACAGACCCAAGGAAAAGCAAGGTCTGGCCCTACTATTTGTAACACTTTTAAAATTTTCTCTTCCTTTCTGATAGGCAGGTGGGAGGCTGAGAGCTGTGATAGTACCATTTAAACACTGTATCATTAATGTGTTATACGTCAGTACTAGCTTGATACCCATATCCTTTAATCAGGCCAGAGAGATTCTGTCACCCATGTTATTCTCAGTGTTGTTTCGAGACTGGTTGGTTATTGACAGGACGAGTTTTAAACACACCAGATAGATATGTCAAGCCTACACAAATGTCTGCCCAAAGACCATTTTCCATCAGCCACATAGTTCAAGTATTCCGTGCATATTCAACAAAAATTCTGATGATCTACATAGCTTTCATATATGCATAGTGAATCTGTAACAAAGGGATAAGAGATACACAGCATTTTTAAACATTTTATTTCAGAATCCTAGAGGCTAGTGGCTACTTACTTTGTTTTGCTTCAGAATTTAGCACCACTTGGGTGATGTGAGAAAGCTAACCAACAAATAAGTTTGAGTGGAAAGACATTAATTGAGGTGATGTCACTTCCATAGTGGTTCTCAATCTCGATTGCATGATGGAGCCATCTGACAAGCTTTCAAAAAATACTAATTCTCAGGCCTGCACCAGACCAACCAAATAAAAATTTCTGCAGATTATACAGGGGCAATTTGTGAATGTTCCTCTGATACTGCCGTGGTTCAGAATTATTGAGCTCAGCAATAATTTCTATCAAAAAAGAAGCGATGGCACGTACGTTCTTTTGAGTTTCGCTAGTTTATTTTCCTGGTGATAGACACACTGCTGGTCCCTAATTGAGTTCAAACTTCATGTGCAGACACCTAAGTTTAACCATTCATAACTTTACTCACCAAAATCCAGTTCAAAGGTCTAAAAGCTTATTAGAAATGCAGATCTCAGATTCTAAGATTCATCTGAGAATCACTAAATTATAATGTCTTTTAACAAGGCCTCCTGGGAGGTTTGCATACACATCCAAGATTGGGAAACACTGATACAATTTCAGTGATAGGAAAATCTTTTCAAGTTAAGTGTTCCCTGTTTTTGAGATTTAACTTTGCACGAGAAAATAAAACGAGCACTATGCTAAAAAGGGAACAGGGGGATGTTGTGCCTCAAGTTTTTAATGTGCCGGAAGTCAACCAAGGGGTGAGTTTTCTCAAGATGATTCACAGATACTCACTCTGGTCATGAATTCCTTTCATCTGACACCTACTTTCATTTACTAATAGAAGTGCTATCTTTTCACATATGCTTTCTTTCTTTGGCTCTACAGTGAATTTTTCATCCTATGTACAAAAAAAAAAAAATTGCAACAGAAAGCAATACAGCCAAGTATTGAGGAATGAGGGAATTTGGTGATTGGCCACTAGTGACTGGCAAACTGGGACAGCAGGATCTTGAGTTTCCAACAGTGAGTCTCATAGTTCAGACATTCAGAGCCACACTAAACCTTCAGGTAAATAACCTTAACTTGAATGTGGAATTAACTGCTTCTCTTCAGTGCTTCATTGAATTCCTCTTCTTGTGTTTTCTCTTTAGTCTCACCCTGAACTTGTAACGGAACAAGTTGGAGAAAAGCAGGCAAGTAAACTCATCTCAGAAAATCTAGGGATACTTGCCGATTTTAGAAATCATATCCCTGATAAGACCTTTGTGAAACAAATTCTTGGTGCACAGGAAGGCAGGAACCCTGCCTTGAATATGATTACTGGTTCTTTGCATACTTTGAGTAGATTTCCAATAGTAAAAGTTTCCTTCTCTGCCCAAACCTCTCCCTTTCCTAAGAATGCCCACAATAGCTGACATTTATTTACATATTGATATTTACCAGGAGCTAAGTACTGTATATGTATTAATTCATCAAATTTTCCTAAGAAAATCATGAGGACGGTAAAGCACAGTATTTTTTTTAATGTTTATTTATTTTTGAAAGACAGCGAGTGTGAGTGGGGGAGGGCAGAGAGAGAGGGACAGAGGATCTGAAGTGGGCTATATGCTCACAGGAAGCCCGGTGAAGCACAGTATTTTTTAAGTAATCTCTGTACCCAACATGGGGCTCAGACTTACAACCCTAAGATCCACAGCCACTTGCTCTACCAACTGAACTAGGCAGGTGACACAAACACAGTATTTTTTTTTTTAATGTTTTATTTATTTTTGAGACAGAGAGGGACAGAGCATGAGCAGGGGAGGGGCAGAGAGAGAAGGAGACACAGAATCAGAAGTAGGCTTCGGGCTCTGAGCTGTCAGCACAGAGCCCGACGCGGGGCTTGAACCCACAAACTGTGAGATCATGACCTGAGCCAAAGTCGGATGCTTAACCAACTGAGCCACCCAGGCGCCCCACAAGCACAGTATTTTTTAACAAAACTTAATTTTTAGAAGAGTTTTAACTTTACATAAAAATTGGAAACATAGTACAGAGAGTTCCTATATATCCCACACCCAGAGGTATTAACATTATAATTAACGTCTTACATTAATATAATTAAGGAACCAATCTCAGTACATTATGTTTAACTGAAGTCCACACTTTATTCAGGTCTTCTTAGTTCGGAGTGTCCTTTTACTGTTCTGAGCACAAGATTGTTAAAGAAACTTCCAAGATTACACAATAGTAGTTGACAGCTTGTCTTTAAATCCAGATTTACTCCAGGAGTCCAAACTTTCAAGCACTCATTATAATGCATCGTGAGAGTAAGGTATGTCTATTAAATCATACATCTTGAGAAGAAACTACACCAAATATACAGGAAAAAAGCATCTTTTCTATAGTTGTGGCAAAGCCAGTACAATCTGAGGAATATCTGATTCCATGGAAAGCTTACATGTGACATTTGTGGTCAAACAACCAAGTCCCTCTCCATCAGTTATAAGTAAGTAGTTAGGCTTCAGTTTCCTTTGTGGAAAATGGTCATAATACCATATGCAAGAGCTATTGAGAGGATTTTTGTAAAGACTAAGGGATATCTGCCTGATTCCAACCTACTTAAGCAATACATATTTTTTCACTTCTTTCCTCTTTTTTATGTCCCATACCCATATGTGTCTATGCTCAGTATTTGTAAAGAAAAATGTCATTACTGAAAGGTGATAAAATGTAGGAATGACCTCACAAGTGAAAATTCTGATATTTCTCTTTGCATTGAAGAAGTTGACTGGCCACCATCCTGCATGATTTTCTTATCATTGGCTCTATGACAAAATCACAAGGCTTGATCCAAATGACGATTTAAGGCCACTGCAGTTGTATTTTTACAATGTCCTATCTCCTTACCTCAGTTTCTTTATATTTAAATAACTGGTATGCAAATCTCATAAGAATGATTTTCCGCACAAGTATCAACTCAATATTTTGAGGCTTCTTTTCAACAATTGGTCTGGTTTTCCAAAAGAAAGTTGGATTCCAGCGTGTTCCTACTGCTTCCTGGTGCCTGTAACAGCACCAGGAACAGGGAGTTCATCTTTCATACACACAACATGGCTTTGGCAACAGGGCGAAAGTGTCTGTCCAGCCAGGAAAAAACATTCACACACTCCCACATGTTCACACCACCCACATCCAAAAGGCTGAGTCTGGGAGCTGCCTTTAGAATTGTCATCATGTTCCGATACGGATTCTGAGGCTGAGATATATCCATATTCTGCAGTGTCTCAAACCTACTCAGCGACTCTTCCATTGCTATCCTCTCACTTCCCTCTTGTTTCCTTCCCTGCTCCTGCTTCTATGTCTCTCAATACATCTATGCTATTAATGTTGTAAGAATGTCATTTAATTACTTTAACTAAAATGTGCAGAATGTGTTAAAGCCACAAAAAAGGCTTTGAAAATTAGATGTTTTAAACTTTGTGGACTATATTTCCCTCATTAACTATAAAAAAAAAAGTATGGTCTCATTTAAATTTACATGTAATAAAAAATTTTTAATTTTTGAAAAAATATAAGTACAAACAGAAACCTAGTTTAGAAATGCCAACTCTTACCAACTTAGGATGCTAGTTAATTTGTTTCTACATGAAGGGAAACATCTTTATCATACATCAATAGATCTAGGAAATCGAATTATATGAATAATGGGCTCAAAGGAGACTGTGAAATGTTGTAAGTTTCCTCCAGAAATTCCTTAACCGTTCCGAATAATATTATTGAAAATCTCCAGAAAAGATATTTGATGACTTTCTGTAGTAATATGATATTTTTAAAATCTCTCCTCTCCTATATTCATATTTCATGAGAAATAGAGGATTATCATTTCCCATTAATATCCCAACAAGCTTATACTAGATATGCAAAGAGGGCATGTATCTTACATGAGATCTGACTGGCATTGTGAATCAATGAATAAGGATAGAGATGAACGCTCTCTGTGCATCTGGGTGGCAGCGTAGCCTAGTAGTCAAGAGTGTGGGCTCTGGACATACACAACATAAATTGTCTGGTGCCGCCACATTTTCTGTTTTTTGTTTTGTTCTGTTGTTGTTGTTTGTTTTGTTTTGTTTTGTTTTTAGCTAAATGATCTTGGAAAATTAATTATCTATTTCCTTATCTGTAATTGAGGTAATAATACTACTCAACTCATCAAGTTATGGTTAATGAATTAATGTATTTTGAGGAGATACAAACACATTCGATAAATAGGATTTTTAATTTCCTGTGTAATAGACACTGTACCTCTAGAGATATTTTAAATATTTAGTCTCCATTTAATATCCTCATATTAATGATATAATTGGACATTATTATTTCCATTTTGTGAATGAAGAAAGGGTAAAGGGGAATTAGAAACCTATTCAAGAGGAGTCCATTAGACAGTGGCAGAATAGAGAGTTGAATTCAGAATTATTTTACTTCAAAGCCCATCATGAGGAGGCAATTATCTCTCCCTAAAAATGATACCATAGAATGTGCTCTAATTTTATTTTACAATAATTTTAACTTTATTAAAAACTATTGATTAAAATCACTTTAGTTCACTTTAACTTTCCAATGAGACTTTAGACTTTTCTCCAAGAATGTGTAATGTACCTTACAGTGAAAGCAAATTGCTAGGTCTTTTTGTTTTGTTTTATCCCTTTGCTCATATATTTAAACAGCAACCATTTGTTGGCTACTTCAGTATAAATAATGTTGGAAGCAAAATGAAGATCAAAAGTATTAATGCCAAGTGCCACTTATCTAGGTATTATCAAAGTGGAAGAAATGAGACAACTCTTCACTCAACGTACGATAAAATATTCAACATCATCTAATTACTAACATGAGTCACACAGGAAAGGAAATGCTATATAAGCTGTGAAGGGTTTTAGATAGCTCAATAAAAGAAGTAATTCTTGAGCTAGGAATAAAATAGTGGGGAGAATTTACCTACAACATGCAAGGCATTCCAGACCAATGATATAGTGTGAGGGAAAGTGTGCAGGTAGAATTGAGTATGGCTTATTTGGAAAAAATGAGGAAATAATCTCATTGGAGCAAAAACTGAGTTGAGGAGATATATGAGCTGAGACTGGAAAAACTATTTAAAAAGCATACTATGACCAACCTTGGATGAGAATTTGCAATGTTTCCATTTTATCCCATAGGCATTTGGGGTCCACTGACAATTTTTGAGCCAGGATAGTTATGTGATGAAATCAATATTTAGAGAGATTTCAAAATAATTTTGCATTTAATACTGAATTATTTGAATTCCTTTTCTTCCATCTAAACTTGGTGGAAGAGGGAAAATGGGGATAGGATTATGCAACTACCACCAGTCTCAGTGAAATAAGACCATCTCCATGTCCAGTCTGAAATTTCTGTACATTATGGTTTAGAGGAAGAGGTAATGGAGACCACTAAAATATTCCTGGTGACAGGTGATGGAAGACTAATGCATTGTGGGGGGATGGATAAAGATATCCTGAAGGAATAGCAAGAACTTTGGAAGAAAATGTCAAAAACAGTCATACAAATGTCACGAAAAGTTTACCTTCCCTATGGATGAGATTATTAGAATACTACAGCTAGCTCATAGAAGGAGGATTGAAAAGAAGCATGAAAACAGAGAAACACCTTTGCCTGTGCTAAAAACTGGAGAATGGCAAGGCCCTCCTAAAAGAAACTGAAGAAATCCTTCTAAATTGTTCAAACTATGACAAGCCGGTTTCAGGAGCACCTGAGTGGCTGAGTCAGTTAAGCATCTGACTTCGTCTCAGGTCATGATCTCAGGTTTGGTGGGTTCAAGTCCTACATCGGGCTCTCTGCTGTCAGTGCAGACACTGCTTTGGATCCTCTGTCCCCCTGCTCTCTTCCCATCCCCTGCTTCTACACAGTCACTCTCCCCAAAAAAATATATGAAAGAAAATCTAATGTCAGAGAAAGATGTGTGGAAGTGAAAAACATGTTTGCTGAATTTGACACTGTAAACATGATGGCAGAAAACATCTGACCTTAGAATATAGAATATATGAAAC